AAAAAAAAAAAAAAAAAAAAAAAAAAAAAAAAAAAAAAAATTTCCCTCAGACATGTTTACTGGCCAACGTATTCCATACTGGCCTTCACTGAAACTTTCTTCCCAGGAGATTCTAGATTGTGTAAAGTTGACAGCACTATCCATCACACCATATTTTCCTATAAACATGTTAAGAACATGAAAGAATGCTTTCATTGTTATTTAGTAATCTCCATGTCACAATACGTATTTCCCAAACACATCAAGGCCAGAAACCTGAAGTCGTATTTTATCAATTCTACAAAGAAAAGATGCTTATAACAGTATAAAAGTTATTCTCAGAAATGCTGAAAGGGAAAATTACCTAATTAATTTCAGGAAACTTACAGTCTTCATGCTTAACCTGGAATAGTTCAGCAAATGAAAAGAAGTAATAACTAAGCAAAGTAGATTATGTAAATTACAGGGGCAAAATAATCACCTGATGTTTTTCTTTGAACAATAAATGATCTGTAAGAATATAAAAAGTTAGCTTCCACTGAACGCATTAAGAATTATATTAATACAGATCAGTTGTTTTCAATAGGAACATTTACATTGGCGTGCCTGCAGCACTAAGAGGATTGAGCTATCTCCCAGCGTTCTTCATTCTAAAACTCATGAGGAAGCGCCAACTTCCTGGGGAAACTGACTCTTCAGAAACTGAACTTGCAGAGACAAAGCTCACAGAGAAGAAAACTGAGTGTGTGGATGTGCACAGAAGTCCCGAGGTTGAGAATGACAGAGAACTGAAAACTAAGCTGTAATGAGTTTTCTATTGGCCTGTACAAGCCCTTGACAGAGTATGCATTTGGTTCTTTTGAATTATAAGAAGTGCTATAGGAAATCTCTTCTTATCCCCAAGGACCTCAAAAATTATTTTACTCATGACAAAAATATTTACTGACAGCATTTTTAGAACATTAGGGTAGCACTTAAGATTTTCCCAGGAAAGTCTATGGTGACCCCATACTGAATTTTAAAGCTGTCTTCATTTTCAAAGAGCATTTTCTCTTTTAACTCAATCAAAGCCTGTGAGTATTTCCCATATATCTTCAAATAGCATTAAAACTTGGCATTTCGGAAACACTATTCAATTTCATTAAATTTATGCTTTAATGTTGGAAGTATTTAGAGCTGAAAATATGCATCTTTGTTGTGTCACATTGAATAATTATCCTTTCTACATGCAAGACATCTGCACATGTCTATGTCTATTTAGGAGTTGTAAACTTTTTTTTGAGACATGCTGCTTCCCAAATATGACTTCTCATAATGTGTGACCTCTTGTTTTGAATCCCTTTTTAAAATTACTCTTGTCAAACATTTAATCACTTTGTTTAGAGCACTGATACATTTAGTGAGGTTATTAAAAATCTTGTAGCAAAGATGGTTCAAACTTTTTTTTATAGTTATTCAAGACTGGGCATGAAAGTCTTTCTTAAAAACCAGTATTTGAGAAAGGCAGACCTTGCAAAGGCCCTTTGTGGAGACAGAACTCTATGTCAGTAGTAGAGTGCTTGCCTAGTTTGTGGCAACCCCAATGTAAACTACTGATAATAAAACAAAATACATTTAAAAAGTCAAGGATGGATGCCGTATTTACAGTTCAACAGACTGCCTTCTCATATGCAGGTGGCCTCTTTGGTCCAGTTTTCATTTTACTCATGGGTCTTCAGAGTACCTGGTTATTAAATTTCAAAATCATCTCAGAGTAAAATGATTTAACAGGGGCTAGCTGGATGGCTCAGTGGAAAGGGGTGTTTGCCACCAAGTCTGACATGATAATTTTGATCTCTGGGATGAAGAAAGAAAACCATCTCTTATAAATTGTCCTATCCCCTTTTCTGTACTTCCTCACCCTCAAACAAATAAATAAATGAAAAAAAATTGTAGAAAGTTGTAAACTGTAACATTGGGATTAATAAAATTCAAGGTGCACTTTAAAATCAAAATCAACTTGTGATGGTTTGTTTGAGAACTGTCTCTCTTAAGATCAGGAATTAGGACATTTGGGTTCCAGTTGATAACTCTGCTTGTGGAGAACTGGGGGTGCACCCTTAATTGACAAAGTGAACCACCAGGCTAGGTGTTGAGAGTTAAAATCCTCTTTTTTTTCCAGTTCCCTCTGCTTTGTGCTTTGGTTGAGGATGTGAAATCTCAACTTCCTGCCCCAGTCACCATGCCTGCTTCTGGCTGTCATGCGTCCTTGCCATGAGGGACTTCTATCCCTCTGGAATCATAAGCAAAAATAAACTCTTTTCTTTTACAGGTTGCTTTGTGGTGTTTTATTACAACAGTTAAAAGTAACTAATACAGAACTGTGGGAGCCTGTTTTCAGGTTCCTTGTGGCTTTACCCAGCAGGTCAGCATAGAGGATGATTAGGGCCACAGGCCTGAGTGCAGGTGTCTGAAATGATCTGCACTTGGCTGTGCTGTGGGAGGAGGTCTTTTGCTCCACCCCTTGGTGTCTCTATAAATACCCTGGGGCAGAGACAGTCAGGGCCCCTTGGAATAGGTTCCAGGCCCTCTTGAGGCTATTCTGTATTTTCTATCTACTTATCTCCACAATCTAAATCTTTCTATCTAATATTTCCTGCTGTTCACACTCAAGAAAACTCTGGGGACCTGTGGGGTTGGTGGGTAAACACCTCACACAAAACTCATCTTATTTTGTGGTTGATAAAGAATGAAGAGATTTTAAGGAACAAGCTTGTCTGTTGTAGAGCCATGGTTCATGACTGTAGCATGACCAAAACTATTTCTTTCTGATCCTCACTTTTCTTTCCTTGGTAATGTATGTCCATAATATAAAAATGGCATAAATCCCTAAAGATGGGGAGGATGAAGGAAGGAAATGATCAGAATGTCATTCTGTATGCTGTGAATGTGTGTTGCTCTGATTTGGTTGATAAAATGCTGATTGGCTAGTAGACAGGCAGGAAGTATAGTATAGGCAGGATAAGCAGAGAGGAGAATTCTGGGGACAGGAAGGCTGAGTCAGGAGTCACCAGCCAGACACAGAGGAAGCAAGATGTGAAGGCAGATTTGAGAAAAGGTACCAAGCCGCTTGGCTAAACATTCTTATTTAAGAATTATGGGTTAATTTAAGTGTAAGAGCTAGTCAGTGACAGGCCTGAACTAATGGCCAAGCGTTTTTAACTAATATGAGCCTCTGTGTGTTTACTTGGGTCCAAGAGCTGCAGGACTGGTGGGTGAGAGAGATTTATCCTGACCATGGGCCAGGTGGGACACAAGAAAACTTCAGCTACAAGGAAAGGTGAAGGGTGGAGGTCAATATACTGTGGTTATTTATGCATAGTAAAATGAAAAAGAACATCTACCTGCTAGAGCAGAATGCAAGCAGCCACATACTTAAAAGCTATTTAAGGGAACCAGAATGTTCATGGGAGAGTTAAGTTGACAGTTTCAGTTACTTGAACTAAGACCAATCCACTTCCAAGAAGAAAAGGCTTATTTTGCTCCAGAAGTCTCCAGCCATGATCACTCAGCCCTGCTGCTTTGGAGCTGTGTCTGTGTAGCACATTGGGGAAGAAACTCATAGCAAGGAAGTTGGGGACCTCACATTGACCTGGAATCTGAGAGAGGGATGGAAGTGGCAAAGGGCCTAGTATCTCTTTAAGGGCTTATGGCCATGGACCCAACTTCCTCCTTCCAGGCCCCACCTCTTAATGCTTCAACCACCTTCCAACAGCACCTCGCTGAAGACTAAGATTTTAACACATTGGGGGATTGACCAAACCCAAACAACAGTGAAGAGAAAGTCGAGAACTTAACTGAAAGTCTTTCTGCAGTTACCTTCATGTTATGATTTCCTGAATTAGTGAGTGTGTCCTAAACATGAAAATGTCATGGGGATGGAGAGAGCTCACCCTTAGGAGCATGTGCTGCTCTTGCATATGTTCTAAGTTTGGTTCCCACCACCCACAACCACCTTTGACCTCAGCTCTGGGGGATGATGCCTCTGATCTTCAAGGTACATGTGCTCACATGCAAATACCCAGTGCCTGGGACTCACTCCTTATGAAGGAGATAGTCTTTCACTCTAAAAGCACAGGTTCTTCTTTGATAGTTAGAAACAGTGAAAGCCCACTGCAGGACCCAAATGTTGGTTTTAACATTTTCTTTTTTTGAAGCAGTTTCCCACTTTTTAATCTCAGACCAGCATCGTCTTCCTCCGCCCCTCTCTAGTGCAGGGATTACGAGTGTGTGCCACCACACCCAGTGCAATCCACATTTCTCATCTGTAGTCATCTCAGGGATATTATCCCTTCTTTGAAGCTGTAGCACACATGAACACCGTACTTCAAAGAAATGACTTAATGCTTTAAAGAGTTTTGCCAGTGTTTCCAGACTTTTCTTAAAAAACAGCTAAGATTAGAATTTGGTCTGTAAATCTGAAAACTAATAGATTTAAGATAGTAGAAAACATGATCTATCAATGCAGGACAATCTCCATTTGAAGATGTTCTTGACAGTGATGGGAGCAGACTGTAGAGTTCTTCACATTCAAGTCATGGGGCTGGATTTTGGGAACTGATTAGTGAGCAATAACAGCACCTTAAGCTGTTCTAAATGGAACATTAGCTTTTTGAGTTAGCTGAAAGGACCACCACTCCTCATGAAAAACACACTGGAATCTGAGTTTGTGTCCTAGATGCAGTATTGCTTCCCCCAAGAAACCTTCCATCTGAAGATGGTGAGAGAATGCACACGACTATTCAAACAGTCATTGGAATGCCGGGAAAGGGTGACAAAGCCAGTGCAAGAGATGCTATCTCCACTTTAGGTATCTTTAAACTTAATTGTTTATTCATTCTTTGGGAATTTCACATTGCGTACCCCAATCCTGCTCACCTTCCAGTCCCTCCGTATCCTCCCCTCAATGCTGCAGAATGTCTCCCTACACTAATTAAAACAAAAAGCAAGCAAATAAAAAATTCCACCTCACTCCTCTGTCTTTGCAACACCTCTCCATTCATGCCAGTGTCATTAGGGGCTGTGGTGTGCCACACAGTTCACCCTTCTGTCCAATCATCCCCACCAACAAAATGATCAGTGCAATGAGTCTTTGTTCTGCTCCAGGGCCTCTGGCGCACCATCATCACTGCTTTGGCCTAGGGCAAGGCAGCTTAGAGACTGGTGGGAAATCCAAGAGAGACAGTGAGAGGAGAAAGGCGAGTGGGAGAGAAGCCAAACCACCATCCTAGTAGCAACCTGTAATGGGACGCAGGTAAAGCCACGGCCACGTGGCAATACGTAGATCAATAGAGATGGGTTAATTTAAGATGAAAGAGATGGCTAGCAAGAAGCCTGCAATAGACCATACAGTTTGTAAATATTAGTAAGCCTCTGAGTGATTATTTTATAAGCAACTGCAGCACTTTAGGCCCATGCAGGACCAGAGAAAACTCTGGCTACATACCCTCACTGAAATTCCTCTTGGATATCTTGCTGTCACCCAGATTCAGGGAGATTCTGTAACTATCATTCTGCAGGACAAGTTCCTTTATGCACTCCAGCAGGTCATAGATGGGATAGATGTTAGGGTGGGCCAATCCAAGGCCCAGGATGTGGGTCAGGATGGTAGACAAGCTGGTTGGTTTGGGCCACTGGGACCAACCCCTTAGGTGAGGGGCAGAGACAGTTCTCCTAGGCCCATGGCATTGGAGCCAGATCTTGAAAGCCCATAATGAGGGGTAGAGCCATATCTCTGGAATGTAGAGGCCAAATCTGTTACAGTGTC